CTGATACATCCTAAAAATAAAAATAAACATGCTCAGTATCATCGCCAAGTACTTGCAATGTAGACGATACGACAAATCTTGAAAAGTTGCGAAATAAAAACCTAAAATAATAATTGCATTTCCGTGCGCCCGCGGTACAGAGTGACTGTCGACAGTTTTGTTTTTAATGTAACATATACGACTGAAAACAGTTGAGAACACCTCTTACACGTGTCTTGTTAGTGTGAAATATATTCCAAAGATAATAAGCTAGATATCTACTAGAAAGTAATGTCAGAAAACATGTTATTGCGTCTTATTTAAAAATGCAGCACAAAGTCTCCCACTTCAGCACAAATCTTAGTTCTAGCATTTTCCCGCACAAAACGTGGAGACAGTTTGAATGAAATGGTAGGCTAATGTTTTTCCAAACGAGCTGTAATATTATTTTTAAATAGTGTAATATAATCGACAATCTTATGAGCAAAAAATGTAAAATACATCGGCAAAAGGTAGAAAAAGTTGTTTCAGAAAAGTGATCTCTGGGAAGATAATCCAGAAAGAATTATTTGTTGGGTGTTTAAATTGTGATGGCTAATCACACCCCTCCCACAGTCAAGAAATAAGAAGATTACATGAAAAGTTCATGGCGCATTAAGAATGATGAAGCAATGGATTAAAAGTAGAATGATTCGTAGAGGAACTAGTGGTGCTAAAACAACAATTACTTTTTGGCCCGAATTGTCAAACAAAATTACGGTAAAAGTACTCAAATTTTCGGAAAAATGTTGTATTTCAAAATCTATGTTAAGGAACAGATTTCCTTAAGGTAAAAAATATTTATCTTCATAATTGTAGTTTTAAGAAGATGCCGAAACAATTTTAATTTTTTGCAATTTTGAAAGATCAGTTTTGAATGAAAATAAGACCTCCACCATTTACTTAAACGGCCTTCACTCTATCCAACAACAAAAGTTAATCAAAAACGATGGAGTCACTTTATTAAAAATTTTGAAACTGTCCCAGGGGTTTCATGTAAGGTATCCCTCAAAATTAAAATATCGGTTTAAAATTCCAGGAGTCACGACATTTTGGAGAAAATGGGCTAAACAGTTTAGATACTAGCGTTGTTCACAACCGGAGAGAC